CTTTACATCTCTGATGTTGAAAGTGCGAAATCAGTGACCGAATGAGGGCGTGACGTATACGCGTTGGAGCGAGGAGGAACTGTTGCTACAGTTTAGCCTCTGTACAAGACCAACGCAAAAGTTTAAAAACACTTGTGGAGACACAGAGGCCTTGTGGACAGGCTTTTAAAAGAGGCGCGTGTGGTCTGCCTTGAGAAATGAGGTGGGAGATACTAACCAAAAGTATCCTTTCTCAAGTGCCACTTACGGTTCGCTTATAGATAGCCCTTACCTGATTAATTAGGAACCCTAGTGAAATGAAAGCGGTCAGTGCTTGTCACACAACGCGGCCCCAGAATGAGAGAAGCGACTGCAGCTGGGATTTCTGACGAGTATATCGTGACCGCCCAGTGGTGTGAGAAAAACTTTCGTGGCTCTGTAAAACCCCTACGGAATAAGATGCCAGCAATTGAGCAATCCCAAGTAATCAGCTCTTCCTCATGACGTTCAGACGTTCTATGCATCGCACCAACAGCAGTTTTAATTTTGCGTGTCTCATAATTGCGTTTCTTTGGTCACCGCCTTTCATCCACACTGATGCATTTACTGTAAAACAAAGGAGTTCTTCTCTAAAGACCAGCTAATGCAGAGCAAATTTCCGTTTAAACCACGCCTCCTCTTCCAAGGGAGCATTCATACATCCAATTGCTTACTCCCCATGCAGGGAACATGCTACGCCTACTGCCCTTCTTTTGAACCCGTCCACCAATCCCTCTGCTACCACATCATTTAGCACAAGCAATTACCCAATGTCGAAGTCGCAATCATCACTCAACGTCATTGACGCTCCCATCAACGGAGTGGCTGTGAGTGCGTGTGACTCAGCCACGCTGGTCGATGAATCGATAGGAACACCGCGTGTGCAGTCGTCGCCGCGGATTGGTTAACCAATTAGCCAGGCCACTCACCCACCCACCTGCCGATCGGCCCATTCATCTGTCGTCCATCCATCGGTAAGAAACAGGGCCGTTGGACCGGTTCAGCTAGCTGCACACGTAATAAACAA